AAGCCTGAAACCGCCTCAAAGCGCGCGTTTACAGGTCTCTGGAGGTTTAACAAAGGGGATATACAGGGTTTAGGATTTGGGGCTTAGGTTTTAGGGTATAAAGTCTAAACCCCTGGTAAACCCCATAACGACCCCGATAATACCCCATTATATAATCCCTTATATATCCCCCCTTTAAGGAGTTTAGACTACAGCTCACATAGAACAACAAGCGGACAAGAAAATGGAACATGAAATGGTAGCTGGGGTTCAATTGGGGTTCATAATTTGTAGGGATAGCTGCCCGGATCCTGGTCCCAGGGTCCTCAAATAGTAATGACGCCTCACATAGACCTCGAAAATGATATTGGCACTTTGCTACCAGGTTTCGGGCTCGTGCTTTGTGGCTTCGAGTCAGGCTTTTCCCCCTTCTGGAATCCGTTTGTAGCTCTGCGTTGTTTCCGGGAGGTCTGGCTGTTTGAGAACCCCCCTCATTCTATTGATGGAGGAATTTTGCAATACATAGGGCCCCTAAGCCAGTGCAACTCCCAGAAATTTGGGTACACTTGCGCAGGATATCTTCCGCAGGATATCTTCCAGCAGCAGTACGGCCCCGTAGCCCTATGTAACCGATGACTTTTTTCGGGCTTAGGGTTTAAGATATTATTGAGGACTGCTGCAAAGCTGCCAGGCAGCCGAGACGAGCGACGAGTGGGGTGAGTGGGGTTGCAGCCACAGTAACCTGGCTTGCCAACTGGGAAGAAGTCACAGCTTGTTTGTTATGAAGTCTTGGTCACACAGCACCAAGCAGGTGGCCCGGTTGGGAAGCTTGACTGTGTGAAATGGGCTTCGCACTGGGCTGTGCAAGCTTACACAAGAGCAACTCATGGGGCCATCGTGCAATGCAGGGTTTTTCAGCATACATACTTTTTACATGATCTTCCCCCGGGATGCCAAAGGCTTCCTTCTTGAGAAGCAAGGTGAGAAAGCACAAGCCATGGAAGAGCCAACCCTATGGGATGGCAAGAGCAACCCCGAGCGAACAGAACAATCTTCATATTGCTTCCTGAAACACAAAAGTAGGTAGAATAATGATCCAACACCAGAAACAGCCCAAAACGCCATTATTCTAGGGGTTTAGGTAGTAGCATATTCCAGAAGTAGCATCAGAATCATGAACGGGCGATGCGTCGGGTGGACGCTGCGACTCGGCCTTCAGTCCTGGACTACTATGTACTGGCCCCACATGATACCTTTCAGATGTTTGAAGCAGCTAGTCAGTTGTTTTAGAGTATGCAATCCTCAAAAGGGGGGCAACGCAACATTCTGGATTTTGCAGGTTTCTAGGTGTATATTGCGCCGTGAACCTGTCCTTTGCTTGCCTTCGAATCACAAGCTCTCCCTCTTGTCCATACATCTCACCAGCTGCCATGTGGAGCTGAAGCTGGGTCATGCAGTCTGGAGCTGGCTAGTCTAAGAAGTCAAACATCCGCGCTGTCACGTCATGCGCACTTCTGCTCTGCCAGCTCCTGCAAATCTAGATGCGATAAGCAAAAGTCACGGCAAAGGCATCCCATGTGGGATGGCAATGAGCTTTGAAACCCAATGCCCTCAACGCTATCACCACTAACCGCCGCCTCCCATTAAAACTGGTCTTAGCCGAGGTGAAGAGAAGAAAAAGCTCCTCAGGGCTCTCAAGCAACTCAAGATCAGCAAGTCGTATTGGACGGATCCCGTAAAGTCGGGTCAACCAGATAGGTATTGCACGTGGGCAGGCATCAGATGCCACAAAGATGATTGCCGCGTGAGTGAAATCCATTTTAAGCTGCCTGGCCGGTATGCCACGCGCGGGAGCTTGGATGGCCTCGCGTCCCTTCACGGGTTGGAAGTCTTGCTGCTCATGGACCCTCGGGTCACCGGAGACCTGGGGACCCTGCAGGGCCTCAAACAGTTGAAGATATTGCAGCTTGGCAGCGCTAAGATCAATGGCAGCCTGGAAGGGCTGCAAGGTATGTTGCAGCTGGAGCGTCTGGATCTGCATAGTGAATGGATTGAGGGCACCCTGGGAGCGTTGCGAGGCATGGAGAAGATTCAGCATCTGGACCTGCGCAGCCCTCGCATCACCGGGGACCTGGACAATCTTCGGGGCAGGAAGATGTCTTATTTGCAGCTTGGCAAGGGGGCCACAGGCAGTTTGGAAGCCTTGCAATTTCGCGAGTATTTGGACACGCTGACTCTCTACGGCAGTGAGATTACTGGCAGCCTGCAGTCGCTCAAACGCAAGTATAAGCTGCAGGTTCTGATCCTTCATGGTGATCAAATCACAGGTGAGTTAGAAAGCCTGAAGGGCATGGATAACATGACGAAGTTGGATCTCCGCGCCTCCGGAGTCACTGGGAGCCTACAGGCCCTGCGGCGCATGCTTGACATGAAAGGGCTGATCCTCCATGGCGCCCAAATTTCTGGCAGCTTGCAGGCGCTGCAAGGCATGGAAGTCATGGAGGAGTTGGCACTCCACAGCTTACACATCAACGGCACCATGGAAAGCTTGTCCGATATGACCCATCTCGAGGTGTTGTGCCTCCGTGGCTGGGAAATTAAGGGCAGCTTAAAGCATTTGACAAAGGTCATGCGGCAATTGAGGGGCCTCGACCTCGTCAACACCAAGGTGGACGGCGCATTGATCGCGTTGAAGGGTCACGCGGTCCTCAAGGAGTTCTGCTGACGGAATCCAGCATCAGCTGTTAGAAAGGATCCCAAAAGTGGAATTTCCAGGAAGGACTGGCCGCCTTGCGTACAGAGAGAGGATCTTGGAACAAATAATAATTTCCCAAAACAAGCGGACCCCAATATAAACCCCAAAATACTATAGTCCTTATTCTGAAGACCCCCAAATAGGCACCCCTAATTTTGGGTAACCCCCAAATAATTTGATCATCCCGGCGAAGCCTGGGTCCAAGACTAGATTTCAGGGTCCCAGGAATGCCTCCCCTTGGCAGGGCAAAGGCCTTGAATAACGAGAAAACCAGGGTCCGGAAGTAACGCGAGGGAGACTACGGGGTCTTCTACTGCTTTTCCATTCCTCGTGTTTTTATTTTATTCTGGAAGATGGTTGTAGTAGGGTCCCGGGATCAGAATACGATTTGAGGCTGAAGTGCTGAAGAACTTGAGGAGGAGGGCAGATGAATAGGAGATCAAAATATCGATTATTCTATTACATATTCTGATTGCAAAAAAAAATAATATCGTTGATATAAATCATTTCTTTCTGGGCATCGCCCGAAAACCCTATACGGAAACTTATATATATAAAATACTTACGGCTGGTTTGCAAGACCTTCCGCGAAAACTCGTGATAGTGCTCGCGCAAGGAATTTTAGATTTTGCGAAAGAAATATCGTAAGCTATAATTCTTTTATCTATATTGAAAGAAATTTTTCTTCTTGCAATATATAGGCGTGCTTCTAGATATGTTTAAAGGCTCAATCTTATTTCAGGATTCTTATTTGAAAATCCGCGAAAGAATCACGAAAGATCGCGTTGGCCGAGGTAGGCACTAATATTGCAAGCCATGAAAGATGATATATTTTCTCTAATTCGATAATAGAATTTCGGATTTGGGTAAATTCGAATCCTATTTCGCCTTCCCGGCATTCTCAAGTCTTATAGGATCGATTTTGGAATTGAGGCTATGGGATAAGACTTCTTTTGAGAATTCAAAATTTATCTTTATTTTTTTCAAAGATATTTCTGCGATAGCTACATACGAAAAGAAATTTAGATTTCTGCGACGAGATCATATTATTATGAAGATATTATTGGATAACGTCTATATTGAATTGAAATGAAAATTCGTATTTCATCATATTATTATACTGATATTTCTTTGATTCCGTAGCCTCCTTAATTTCTAGATCTGCTTAATAGATTATTATCCTCAAAATTCTCCTTATTAGCCTAGGATCATAATTTGCTGGATCATCAATCAGAAAATTCATATTGCTATTAGAAAAGAATTTGATTTCAAAAAAATATTGTCTGAGCCGCAGAGCTTCAATTTATTGGATCATCAAATAGATAATTCAAATCATTGATAGATTATCGCATCTTTATAAAATTATTGATGAAAATTCTTGCCCCCCCCCCCCAGATTCTTCCGCCTAATCCTCCATCCGGAAGAATTCAAATATTCTAAATTTCTTCCAGGGAACTAATTCCTCCGCTAGCCAGGCCAATGAAAATATATTTTTCCATATTCCATATCTTTTATACTATGAAAATAGGCAAATACGACGGCATTTTATTCCTGATGATATATTGAATCTATTAGATTATCTCCTATTTGGGAAGCTTTCCTGAAATGAAAGAATTTATTAGATATATCAGCTAATGAATATGCGAATCTATTAATCGATTCCTTTTCTATAATAAAATATCATGAATATAATACGATAAGAAACTAGGAAACGGAAATTACGAGACGAAAGATGATCATATATCTACCAATAATCCTAATAGATATATTCATGAATTTCAATAATCGTTTGATATTTCCGATATATTCGATCGTGATCGTGAATAAAAATATTCCTAATGATAATGATTCCCTATATATAAATATATTAAGATTAATTGGTATGATCCTTTTTTCTTCAAGAATGAATTAAATTGATCTAGAGAGGAGATCATAGGGATTTTATAATTTTCTATCCCATTATAAGATTATAGAAATCTATATTTGCAGATTCCTAATATAATTTAAGAAATTTCTGATATAAGAAAAATTAATAATCTATAATAGAATTATATGATAAGATTAGAATATTCTTGAATTCTTTAGAAATCATGAACCTCATAGATTTATGAATCAATTCATTATATTCTCTTCTTTTTCTTCATTCATTTATTCATTTCATTCATTAGATTTCTTCTTTTTTTTATAGAAAGAACGAAGAACGAATGAATACGAAGAACGAAAAGAATAAGATCACGAGTTCAAGATAAGAATGATTTCTGCTGATAGGTTCCGTAATTTCAAAAATTATTCAAGATTATAAGAAATATCTAATATGGAAAATAACCCAGCTTTATATGGATATATTCGAGAAATCTATTTGATTTTTCTATTAGATAAAAGATATATCAGAAAGAAAAATTATTAGATCAAAGAATATCAATTCCTCTCGTATTTAGTTGAATGAAACGAGGGGAGAAAATCTGATGATCCTATTTAATGATTTGAATGAAATATATGAATTAAAATAAATCAGAAATTCACGATCCAATTTAAAAAAAATAGAATATTAGAAATCTATAAATATATAATCTATAATTTTTATTGATATTCCTCGAAATCTTATGATTATTCATCTTTCTAATCTTTTATTGTTATTATATAAATTTATTATTTGATTTCATTCTTATCTTTTTTGAGATCTCAAGAAGAAGATTCCAGATCATAATCTTACATTTCCTCCAATTCTAGAATAAATCATCTTCGAATACTAATCTTATCTCCAATATGAATGATTTAGTCTAATTAGATCAAGAATCTCTTTTATCATTAGTCGTCATTCAAAAATCGGAGAAATAAGAACTAGACCGCTATCATCCAAAATTCGTAATCATCATGAATATATGAATGAGAGAAATTGATTAAATCATTGAATTTTCTTCATTTCATTCATAATTCAATATATTTCTTTTCATTCATATCATTCTTTCCTTATATTAATATAAAGAATAAACGAATCTATCCATTGAATTAATCGAAATCTTTCAGAAATAATAGGTTGCCCGTATTTATTCGCGGAAAATCATGCACTCTCCCGAGCTGCCGCGCAAATAATCCAAGAGAGATGAGGCAGAAATATCGGAGTGCATGCGGAGACCGCACGATCAAAAAGTCGTGTAATTAAAAAAATCCCAATATTTCGAAATATTTCTCTATATTTAACTATTTCCCCAACGATTCGATAGAATAGAAAATTTTAGCGCAAAAATCTAAAATCTTTCAGAATCTATATGCACGTGCGAATTTAAAATAAGAATTCATCAAATTCAACGATATATTTATTATATATAAATCAATAAATCAGAAACTCCAAATCTCCCAAATATTTAAGAAAATATATCTATAATTACTAAAAAAGTCTCCAAATTCCGTAGAAGGATATATTTAAGAATACGAAATCAATATTAAATCTATATATAAAAAAAATATGATCTATCGCCTTAGAATATTTCCAATAGCTTCTAAAATATCTAAAAAAATAATTCCCAAAGAATCCTTAATTCCTCATATAATCATAAATTCATATTAAAGAGATTCTTTTTCTTGGATATTCTAGGGAATCTGAATAGTCGGTTAAGAGATAAAAATATAGGTCATAAATCGAATTTTAATCAATTTTGAAATTCTATTGATTATCTTCTCAAAAATTTCGATGAATTTAATTTATCAATTTCAAGATTTTCGAAATTATCTTCGAATAATCGTGAAATCAATAAATCGAATATATATGAATATTTTTATTTTAAAGAATTTTCGATATATAAATTTCAAATTCTTTTCGTTATAAAATCAAGATAGGGATAGATCTTCTAATAGAATCAATATTTCAAATTTCATTCCTCTGGGAAAATCCCAAATCCCTAAATCGTATGAAAGATTGTCCATTCTCGAATTCTCTAACGCCAAATTCGTGCGTGACAACCCCTCTGATTCTCAAGGCGCTGCTAAAGCCAATATACATCGTTTTAAAATACCAGAATATCCCAATCCTAAAAACCCTAAACCCTAAATCCCTAACCTCCCTCCCTTTCAGAACACTCAAGCCTCTGACACGGCTTAGTAAACCCTAAACCCTAAACCGGGTTTTAACTTGCTATAATGAGGAAATCATATGGGCGGTTGTCAAAATTATGGTCCCTTTTTGGGTGCCCTAAATATTAGGTGCCGTGTCATAATAGGGACCCAGAAACTGACCATAATTTTGACAAACACCCAAATAAATTGCCATGTATACCCATTATGGTGACTTTAATTGAAGATTCTTAACAACAACCAAGTAAAAGTCTCTAGTAAGGTCGTTTGGATCCTTTCTGTCCAATGTCGTGCAAGCAGTCCGTCCCCTTTTCCTGCGGGCGCGTTTAACGTCCTCCCAGAAGTGTAGAGACAATTAGCAGGCGAAACTTGGGTTATACAAGGATATCTGAGGATATATGGGCTGTAGTCTAAACTCCTTGTATCTCCCTCAAAGAATTCAGGATATGGCCCATATAGGTTTGTACATTGGGCTTAGGATTCGGGTTTTTGCGAGAAAAAGAACCGAGTTCTGAAGTCCTGTGCCTGCCTACGCACGAGATAGTGCCCCCACCCCATCTATGTAGTTAGGGTTTAGGGGTTTAGGGTGTAGCCTTAACCCTAAACCATTTAGGGTTTCCTGCTAGCACCCACTAACGGTCTTATTAAGGGCTCTTTATAAGCATATTTTGGTTTGACCCACCCAGAAATGGGTACCACAAGGGATGATTGTAGGTATATTAAGGCCCTAATAACTCCATATCAAGGAACCATTTCTTTTGCGGGGATTGGTCTGAGGTATATCATCAGTATTAGCCAACTGTTAGACAGTGGGGGCAGTACCCAGGGTTTACCGCAGGACAACAGGGAATTTACCACAATGACTCAGCCAATCAGCAATTCGATGTGTAGCCACTATG